CCTCCTACAGTATTTCATTTTTTCAATCTTTTCCCCTTTGGTATGTTCAAAGACACTGTTACGGCTTTTCAGGTATCAGTGCTTTTCAAGTCCTGAATGAGGTGGCACATAAATCTGGAGAATTCTAGGTTTAAACTGGAGAGTAAATTTAAAGTATCATCTTTATTGGGGTGGGGGGAGACCTTCCCCTCTTTCCACCATGTAGAGCTCTCTTCTGTAAATTCCTCAGTGCTCTGATAATGTCATGATTGCCTGATGGCTAATCCTGCAAAAAGGAGGGGTTTTCACTTTCTTTGAATGAATAGGCCAAATGGAGGCAGTTTCTTTTCCTCTAAAATGTGCAAAACTGTTCTGGTTTGTTTTCATTTTATAAAAAAGCATATAAAACCTATGAAAAGTATTGTACAAGTTCATAATAACTTTAGGTGGACTCTGTTTTGTAGAGCAGAGTTCAAAAGAGTACCGCTAGTATAAACAGCTCTCCCATTCTTTCTTTTCTTTGTAATACTTCACAGAGTTGATGTCTGGGGTAAGGTGTGGCCGTTTCTTGGCAGAATGGTTCTTCCAGATTTTACTTGTTTTGGTGTGTTTTCAGGAATATGCTTTTATTGCCTAATATGAAATTCCTAGTTGGAGGAGCTTGTCATCTGTCTCTTGTCACGTGTAATTTTAATTTAGCATTCCAACTTTTGTAGCCCCCCTTGCTCGCTTCATAAACTTTAACTGCTTCTCCAGTAAAAGGCTGCCTTGGATGACCAAAGCAGGAGAAAGAGCCTCACTGGCTTCATGCCCCGTTCCTCTCTCCAGCCTTCCTTAATGCCCCAGCCCAACAGCGTGACCGAGAAATTCCTTTGGGAAAGGGTTAGCTTGAATCCCTGTGGTCCCAGCAAATTCACACGGTTCCTCTAATGTAGGAATCATAAATGTACTAGATGAGATGACCTGTTAAGCAAGTATACTAGAATTCCTCTTCATTGCATCTCAAATAAAGAATGGTGACTGTTCAGCTGATTACAGCGACCCTTGTTTAAGTTCCTGTTTTTAAAGATGGCATAAATGTCTGCCAAGAAAGGTAACTGCCAACAAAAAAGGAAGATTGCCCCTCTTGGGAGATGATGGTAAGAAAGTGGGCTGTTTTATTTTCTGATATTTTCCTTTAGCACTTGTGATTCGGAAGATTTGTGTATTCTAATACACCAGAAATTGAAACTAGTCAGGAGAAACAAAGCTTGAAATGCCATCTCTTAGTGAAAGACTTACAGTTTTTCAGTAATTCCCATTTTAGGGAATAGCTTAAAAAAGCAAAGCCTCAGGGTTAAAACAAGCTCTTTTACCTCCTTTTACATATGCTCCAAGCATCTAAATCTACTCAACAAGCATGCCATTTTGCAAGTATCTTATTTTCTTTCCACAGAATGTCAAAAGCGCTGCAGGAAGTTCTATATTC